ACCTCCAAATGATCTTGTTATTGAGTGATGGTTGGTTTATCACTGGTAAACCTATGAGCATCTGCTACATATTATTACTATAGAAGCTACATATGCTGCCACCGAGATCTCTTCTAGCATGACAAAATAACAAGATTTTGCAATTGATAGCAGCAACGCTGTTGATCATTTATGACCACCTGCTTACCAGAATCACATTTATGTTGGTCCTCCCAATAGGAGGGAGACGATGCAGTACAGTTTCCCAATCGCAACCATAGGCGATCGCTTGAGGTAAGATAACACTCTACCAACCTGACACATTGAGTGTCTATGTGAAAATGGTAAAGGCCAACCTGAGACATTATGTAGAATACAGTGCTTTTATTTAAAGTGAACAAATGACAACACGCAAATAATTCCTAGTGCGTGATCTCTTTGAGTGAGATTTTGTTTACTCAGTTTCAACGACATCCAAAAAGTTTCTATGTGATGAATTGAGCAAACCGATGAAACCTCATAACATTGTTGTCCTGAGATGAAAAATCCAATTTTCCTTTGGTGTATATATTTGCTATAGCTTTTTAAAAAGCAGTTAAGATGGCAGCCTATCTGCTTGTTACATGATGATGGCCCTCCTGCTTTCATGCCCAAGCTCCTATGGTGTTCATTGAGACTCTTGTCTTTTTAAAGTGTCGTATTATTTTGTATCTGTTTTATTTAACATAAACAAGCCACTAAGAATAACCAGTGGTTGTTGTCAGTCTTCTTTTTTTGTTAGCATTGTTCATGTGCAGAATGCCTCTAAGATCAGTTTTTAAAACCTTATCATACATCTACCACCTATGGGCTCAAGGTTTGCCAGGCACCAAACATTTTAACCCATCAGAAAAGAATAACTCTCAGGCTGACTAAGATTTCAGTGGGGAGATGAAGATTAGGATCAGAAATTCATCCAAACCACACAGCAGCATATTAATGACTTGTGTTGTAGATAATCTGAGATGTTCTCTTTATTGAAGTTCAGTTGGTTTTCCACATCTTCTTTCTGCCATGTTTTTGCCTTTGCCATCAGAGACCCTCACATTTTGTTTGATAGTTTCATCTTTTGTTTTTAAGATTTTATAGTCATGTTTTTATGTTATGTTTCAGACTTGATTGCAGGATGTATCAGAGAGATATTGTAGATGAAAACTAAATTGTTCTAAAGCTAAAGAATGATTTGAATGATTGGTGATGTGAATACCTGAGAATCTTTTGCGTGACCTTTCATGCTTTCACACCCTCCACTGTGGTTTAATTAAAACAAATACGCAAAGGGGAGTGGGCCAAAATTCCTTCAGTGATTTGAAAGAGACTACTAATCACAAACATGCAATTTATGCTCTGAAGAGTGGCACAACCAGTTATTAGGTTTAGTAAGCAATCAGTTTGTCACACAGAGATAGATAGGTTTGGGTAGCTTTTATCCCATCATTTATTAAATCACCATTTTAAAACTGCATTGTGTGTTTTGTCGTTATCCTTGTCCAATATTAAATATTTTTTGACAATCTGACACATGTAAGTGTGACAATTATGCAAAGAATAAACCAGGAAGGGGGCAAATATTTGCTGAGTTTCAGCACACAGTCAGATGTCATAAGCTCACTTTTAGTCTGATACCTGCTCATGATATGTGTCCAAATGACTAAAGCATTTATTCTTAAAAGTGTTGATAATTTTTATAGTGTATAGGGGGGAAAACAAAAGACAGACCTGTTTTAAAGTAGTTTGAATAAGAATTTTGAACGCATAAAAATATGAAAACATCTTGATCTTGTTGGTGTGTCAACTGATGAAAAAACAATCAAACAGAATTAGGTTTGAGATTATTGAAACCTAAGGCTGGACTCTCCCTTAGAGATAGGGTGAGAAGTTCGGCCATCCGGGAGGGGCTCAGAGTAGAGCAGCTGCTGCTCCACATCGAAAGGAGCCAGCTGAGGTGGTTCGGGCATCTGGCAAGGATGCCCCCTGGGCGCCTCCTGGGCGAGGTGTTCCAGGCATGTCCCACCGGGAGGAGGCCCCGGGGCAGACCCAGGACACGCTGGAGAGATTATATCTCTCGGCTGGCCTGGGAACGCCTTGGTATTCCCCCGGACAAGCTGGAGGAGGTGGCTGGGGAGAGGGAGGTCTGGACCTCTTTGCTTAGGCTGCTACCCCCGCGACCCGACCTCGGATAAGCGGATGAAGATGGATGGATTATTGAAACCTATTGAAAAAAAATGTGGAAAACTTGACAGCTCAATTTTATTTATATAACCCCAAATCACAACAACAGTGACTTCAAGGAACATCTATCGACTCCAAATAAGTCTTTTATAGCTTCTGGCTCCACTGGAAACTAAGGATGGGGAAATGTTGTTATGGTGCTGTGGTGATGAAAAGATACTGGAGAAGGCGGGTTTTCTAAAGAAAAATGACTAAAGTGGAAGTCATGCATCTGTTGGCACAGGACTGCACATTACAGTGTAGTTAACGGTGATAGCAGCAGGGTATAATCACTGATCATACAGCTAAGGGGAAGTGAGATTAAGGCAAGATATACCTGTTATATAATTTTAATACACCCTGAAGAAAAGCAACCTGCCCCAAGTGAAAAGAAGTGCTACACAGGGAGAAGATGATTAAGTTCCTCTTTTGTGTCTTTGTGATTTGCGAGTTCAAGATCCTTTCAGGTTTTTAAAAAACAAAATAAAACAAAAACAAAACAAAAAGCAACTTTTTGTGGTGCATAAATTACATGCTGCTTCTAACACCTCCCAAATCATTGTTGTAAAAATATAATGTTCAGTGTGGTTATGGAGGGGTTGCAGTTAGTAAAAGATAGCTGATTTGACATGTACATTAAGGCAAATATAAAAGTTCCTGGGACGCTCAAATGTTTTGAGATTATCTCCAAATTATCTTATTATTTAGTGATGGTTGGTTTATCACTGATAAACATATTCTATGGAAATAGAAAGAAAAAAGCTGCTGGTTATTCTTAGTGGCTTGTTTATGACCAAATGGATAGAAGAGCATGTGGTCAGCCCATTAGAACACCGCCCACTTGCAGAAGGTTTCCCAGGGTTTGTCAGCAGCAGATGCCCAGTCCTGGCTGCTTATAAAGCTCTCTCTTTCTCAGACACACACCTTGATAAGCTCCTGCAGAGTTTCGTATCGCAGGGCTGCATGAACGTCAGTGGTGACGCTGCTGCTGCTACTACGAAGTTTCCTTGAAACTGCTTGCGTTGTTAACATGGAAACAGACACGGATGTGCTTCTTGTCACTGCAAACGTTGGCTCACTCTTTAATAATGTAAGTAGAATGGCATCACAATTAAAGTCACACTATAATGATGGTATAGTCACAGGATTATGTAAAAACTCTAATAGGCTCATGCATAAATAAGTAAGGCAGGGTATAGGGTATGAGGAAAGCTGGGGGGGGGGGGGGGGTTAACATTGAATGGGCTCCATTGCACGGAAGAGGATTAAGGCCACTGGACGTCTTTTTGTTTGTTTTTCCAGAATTCCGAGGAAAAAGTTTGGAATCCTGAAAAAGTCTTCTCATTGTCTTATTCTGAAATCTTAGCAATGCCTTTCTTGCTGCAACTCTTCCAGTCAAACCTTCAACTCGAAGTCTTCTATTCACAGTTGAAACTAAGACTTGCTTACTCCAACCGCTATTAAGCTGCGCTTGAAGCTGTTGTCCTGTGAACCGCCTATCACGCAAGCTGGTAACTCTCAGAAACATCCTCTGATTAAGCTGTGGCTTTTGATCAGCCAGACCTCTTCCTGTTAGAGTTTGTTTCTGAGTGCCTTTTGACGGTGAAGGAAACTGTACTGACACCTTGACTTTCTTTGTAATTTTTCTGTAGGTTTAGAATGTTATGATGGTCTGTCTCTCTTCCACACACTACATTCTGCAGTGCAGTACTGTTCAACTGATGGTCACAAGAGTGTGGTGCTCCGTGTTCTCTGCTCCCGTGTGTCCTCACACCCCGTGCTCTCTGTCTTCTTGTTTTCCCATGCTCCTTCTGGGAAAATAACAGAGGCATCTGTCAGGACACTCAACTACAGAAAGCATACACTCACTAGCCGCAGTTCACTAGGAAAATTGACTTGGAGTCTCACGCAACGATCCAGCATCGGTGAGAGCTCAATCACACTCTTAAATAGCTCCCCTAACAAGGCTGATCAGCTGCAGGTGCGTGGCAATATCTTCAGGTGTGGCCAGCCATGTGACAGGGCCACACCTGTCAGGCCCAAAGGTGCCTGTCACCCGACCTATCGGATACAGCTGCACACACACACACACACACACACACACACACACACACACACACACCTGCCTTTACATACAAGCATGAAAACACAGGAACAGCAACACAGTGCAGCAAAAACACATATTAATATTATATTATAAAATTATTTTATAAAAATAATTTCATAATTATAATTTATAATTTATAATTATTTTATAAAATTAATTAATTCCTTCTAACAGAACGCACACACACAAATATAGTCTTGTGAAAAAGAAAATGCATTCTCTTTCAGTTCTAAGGTTTAATGTACTGAGTTATAACATGTAAAACAACATGTTATTATTATATGGGAAAATGTAAAAACAGTGTATCTAAAATTAAGTACACCCATATTGCTTCCATACCAGGTAAGTAGCTGCCAGGTGCTGCTAATTAAGTGGGCGTGATTAACTGATCATCAGCAAGTGTGAGCACCTTTATGAAAAAGAAGTTTTTCTAGCATATGTTAACAAAGACAGAAAGACACCAGCCATGATCTTGAAATGAAATGCAATGAAATTGCAAATAAAAACCTAAGAACTACACATCAGATTCTACAAGTCTCAGAATGTTAAATGTTACAACTCATGACAGTATTTTGGCCAAAATAACATCTCTGATAGGCAGAGTCTCCCATCCCATGCATGTAAATGTTGGTGAACTGCAGAGCTCCTTCAGTGACAGACTGTTTTTACATTTCATAGGTCGGTGAAATTCAAAGTGAATGGTTAAAACAACTGTACAAGGTAAGCTTGAGCCTCTGCATGTTGCAATAATAATATTACAGTTTTCAGAATGTGATATTTCTGTTTTGTTTTGTTTTGTGGAGAGTATGGCCACTTCTAGGAAGCGAAACCTGTGTTGGTTCTGGCCACTGTTCTATTATACAGTTGTAATTGCTGATAGCATATCTGCATTCAAGCATCACTAAAGCATATGCTTTTTAAAAAGACCAATTGAGACAAGCTGAAAGGTCAAATATTTAAGATGTGGACATACTTCAACATATAAGAAAAGATGCACTTTAAAATTGAGAGAAAGTGGCCTCTTTTTGTACAAATGGTGTTCTTTACTAGTGAGGATAAAAAGGCAGGATGATTTCCTTTATTTCATCAAAGAATCAGTAAGCAAAGCTAACTACAATGTTGCTGTTTTTATTTATTAACAGGAATGATATGTGATTACCTTTTTTATACCTTATCTGCTTAAGATAACTGAACCGCTCTTTGTTTAAGAATAATTTGGGATATTTTAGTACGTTTGAGCTGCTCCTGCTCTATTTAACTTGGGCGGCATTGCAAACACAAAATTTCTTGTATCTGACATTACAAATTAAAAGGCTTCCCTGGAGACGATCATCATTATTGACCTTCTACACCGCTCAGCGCTCTTCAGTGTAAGCATGTACATTGCACTGAGACTTTTTGCTTTGCTGTATAACAGACTATCCAGAGCTACAAGCCACAGTTCATTGCCCTGCACTTCCAGGAGGTTGGAGGAAAGGACTACATGTTAAACATGGGCCATGCAGAAAACTTCTTCTGGTAGGATTAATATGCTGATTATAATGCATTTCGCCATTTCCATTGATTCGTTGTTGTCAATTAAACAGTTCCTTATAATGTGTCAAAAAAATGAAAACCATCTACAGTTATATGTCATTTGAGAAGCGAGAACCAGTCAAGTCATTACATCTTTATTTAAAATCATAACATTAATTGATGGCTGTTTAGTTACAGACAGAAGACTCTTAGATCGTTAGATCTGTATACAAAGAAACCTCCAGTGCAGTGATCATACTTTTTTGCTCTGCTGTTACCAGGACCCTCGAGTCCAGTGAAGAAATGAAAGACTTTGACAGGTCTTGCATTTATGTGGACAACCAGTTCAAAGTAGAAGATAGCTTCACGGTAAGAAACACAAAAACGTCTCATACAGAGTAGTTGCTGTGTGTTAACTGGATGCAGTCAATGTATTCTGCTGGGGAAAATCAGACGTTTCTGAGAGTGACGTGACACAGTGAAACAAAAAACGTGCTTAGTGACTCAGGTATTACATTACATTATTTTTACATTAATGTTTTTGGAACTCCTCCTTGAATCGCTACCTTATCATGGTGGAGGGGTTTGTATGTCCCAGGGATCCCAGGGGCTATGTTGTCTGGGGACTTTTGCCCCCAGACAACATAGCAAATTGGTCCTGGGTGAGGGACCAGACAAAGAGCGATTCAGAAGACTCTTATGAAAAGAACATCGAGGGAACAGTTTACCCTGCCCAGGATAGGGTTACTGGGGCCCCACCCTGGAGCCAGGCCCGGGGAGGGTGCCCTAGGGCGAGCGTCTGGTGGCCGGGCCTTAGTCCATGGGGCCCGGCCGGGCACAGCCCGAAGAGGAGACATGGGCCCATCCTCCCGCAGGCCCACCACCCGCAGGAGGCACCATAGGGGTCGGGTGCATTGTGTGCCAGGTGGCGGCCAGGAGCGGAGGTTGGAAGGTGCTCCACCTGGAGACTCTGTTGTCCTGCTGGGAGACTTCAATGCTCACGTGGGTAACGACAGCGAGACCTGGAGGGGCGTGATTGGGAGGAACGGCCTCCCTGATCTGAACCCGAGCGGTGCTTTGTTATTGGACTTCTGTGCTAATCACAGTTTGGCCATAATGAACACCTTGTTCGAACATAAGAGTGTCCATAAGTGCACGTAGCACCAGGATGCTCTACGCCGTAGGTCGATGATCGATTTTGTAATCGTATCATCAGACCTATGACCATATGTTCTGGACACTTGGGTAAAGAGAGGGGCTGAGCTGTCAACTGATCACCACCTGGTGGTGAGTTGGATCAGGTGGTGGGGGAGGACGCTGGACAGACCTGGTGCACCTAAACGCCTAGCAGAGGCCCCAGTCCGCGAGATCTTCAACGCACACCTCCGGCAGAGCTTCAACAGCATTCCGAGGGAGACTGGGGACATTGAGTCTGAAGGTGGTTCGGGCATCTGACAAGGATGCCCCCTGGGCGCCTCCTGGGTGAGGTGTTCCAGGCATGTCCCACCGGGAGGAGGCCCCCGGGGCAGACCCAGGACACGCTGAAGAGATTATATCTCTCGGCTGGCCTGGGAACGCCTTGGTGTTCCCCCGGATAAGCTGGAGGAGGTGGCTGGGGAGAGGGAGGTCTGGGCCTCTTTGCTTAGGCTGCTGCCCCCGTGACCCGGCCTCGGATAAAGCGGATGAGGATGGATGGATGGATGTTTTTGGAATGACTTTCCCACCTTCCTAGCAAAAGAGAAAGAAAGGAAAAGCAACTCAAGACTTTTGCACAGTAGTGTTTTTTGTTTTTGTTTTTTTAAGTATTAACCCACACTCCTCCCAGGTGATACCCTCACACTGAACATTTGACACTAGGGGTCAATGGCTGCATCTGCAGATTGAAGCTGTGTGAAGTCAAAAAAGGGGATACTCAGTGGCCAGCTGAGAGTAGAGACAGGACAAAGTCAATACATTTAAGTCTAGATTAAAACTAGAGCAGCTGTCTTCTAAGGCAGAAGACAGAATCTAGCTAAATCCAGTGGAGTGGTTTGGTTTAAACTAGATTAAAACCAACAATTATATATTTTAAAATAAAATAATTAAACATACTCACCGAAAATGGATTTAGCTACATTCTGGACCGCGTTTCCGAATGCAGTAGGTAGCGAGCTGACTGGAGACCGTAACAGCCAATCAGAATTTTTGCATCAAGTCTGTGATTGGCAGGTTTTGTGGCACACTTATAACGGTGTACAGTGGTCCCTCGCGGTTCACTTTTCGCGGCCTCGCGGTCCTGATTGTAGACCATTGTCAATCAATCTCGTGCCTCCTGTCTCCTGAATAGTACAGAATGCGTTCAGTTGTCCAGTTTATATAAATATTCGATCGTTAGCGGTGTGACTCTGAAATGCTGTACTGTATGTTTGTACGTTTTCTCCCCAACAAACACCACAATGTCGACGAAACGTTTTGCACCGTCGTCAAAGGCACTTGCGGGTACCTTTGGTTTCATTCTGTGATACTGGACTTATTTTTCTACGAAGGTTTGAAGTTTGAGAGTGTTTAAACAAGAAAGAAAAGTGTGAAAATGTTCATGCCTGTCTCAGAAAAATGTATAAAGTGTGTAGTCCGGGGTTTTACAGCCTTAAAACATCTATAATAACTGTAAAAAATAAAGTTGGCTACTTCGAGGAACCATCTATTTCATAACTCCCGCGATAAACCAGGCACCACTCTATAGAGAGTTGAGCGCGCACGAAGCAGAGATGTGAGCACGAAGACCTAGGGCAGGTCCGCAGGTATCTGTCAGCACACAGCAGAGATCTGAGCAAGAGGGGCTGTTATTGTATGTGCAATAATAACAAATAATAGCAAACACTGAAATACATTTCTTGCATGCAGAAATTAATTTTGTCCCCTCAAATTAAACTTTTCTTCGCGCAAAATAACCTTCTTCTCAAAATGCAACATTTGCGCATGCATTTCTTTTAACGTGCGATCAGAGAAGAGGCACAGAAATAAACAATACTTTGGGCTGATGTTAGCAAGTGTACATTCATAGAACCAGTAAGTCACGTTGGGAACCTATTTTTATTTCTGTTGCAGTTAATTTACCCATGCAGACACCCATTACTACTGCCTGTGTGACAGCTATGCTGTAGAAGTAAAGTAGATAGTAGCCTGGCTTCACAGGGTATTTCTAAGTTGTTTTCTGTTGTTGTGGAGAGTAATTGTTCAGAAAGGTTTTACCTGATGCAGTTACTGTGCTAACATACGAACCTGTTCTTGCTAATAACCCCTGTGTAAACATAGCGGCATTTGATTGAGCAATTGTGTCCACTAGAGGGTGGTGTTGATTTAATCTAAATTGGCTATAAGCCATCCTGTCATGTCTTTATGATAATCTTTTCATGGTGTCTGTTTCTGTCCACGCTTAAATGGTGTTCTCTGTAGTACTTAATGTGAGAGATGCTGAACCAGTGAAAGATGTTTATGTTATTGTACTAATTTAAGAACCACATCGGTACCAGCTAGAGTGTGTGTTTGATGTGGGCCAGTTTTAAATAAAGTCCTTCAGCACTGTGACATAATTCCCCGTCTCTGACCGGACCTTATTACCAGGGAACAGTACAGAATCACGTTTCAGAGATAGTCGACTAGTGTGTTCACGTTCTGTTGTAACCCATAAACTGAACGGTAATGTAACGACATCCATCTTTCACTTTCACAAAAGTAAAACATCACCACTTCCACCTATAGTTGGTTGTAATGGAGGTGGAGTAAAATGGATCCACTCTCCCTGCCCAGCGCGTACTCCCCATGCAAGGGAAGCAAATTCTGTCGGGGATACCTGCCTTGGCACAACACGTCCTTGCACAACAACCTTGTGTTGCAGCCAATGAAACAGACTCTTCCTCCTTTGCCCAGGTGTGCTGGGGCACAAGCGGTTAATACCTTTTAAATGGTTTTAATTTTCTGTCTTTATTGATTTTACATTGCACGATTAATCAGATAAGAGGAGCAGGGAGTTAGTACATTTAAAATTGTCAGCCCCACGTCAGTGATGATTTGGTACAAAAACAGACACGCACACTTCAGGGCCCTTTTGGAAATATTTTAGTATTATTATTGTTGTTGTTGTTGTTATTTGCCTGTGCCATTTGTCACTTTAGCAATCAGAATTGTTTTCTTAAGGCCAGCCAAGAAAAACAGGGGAACGGGGGACAGTAAGAGAAGACACTGAGAGAATCCGTTGGATCACCTGTTAAAACAAGAAAAAAGAAAACAAACAAGAGAACAACACACTACAGAGATCAAAGCAACAACTAGATATGTATAAGTAACAGTAAATACTAAATATTGAATGTTATTGAGCAGCACGCAAGGCCAACAGCGCACAATATGCTTTAAGATAGCATACAAGGAAGATATAGTTTGTGTCTGTGAGCACCCGTGTGTACACCTGTGTGCATGAGCGCGCTTGAGTTCAAAAGGTTTCTTCATGTAACAATCTGCTAGAGGGTGTGGGAAGCCATAGCCCTGGCCCCAGAGCATGAAGCAGCCATGGAGAAGACCCAGGCCCCAGACATCCAGAGGCCCTCCAGAGTGTGAAAGCCCAAGGAGGACCACTGGAGAGGCAAGTGCACCACATTCCCAGAAAGAGCTGAGGAGAGCAACAGATGTGGGGTCACCCAGCAGCCACAGTGCAGATGCCACAGGTGGCTGCGGTGATGAGCCCACAAGCCATGCCGGCAGACAGTCATGCCAGAGCGGATCGAGCCCCAGTCCCTGAGGTTCGAGGGAACCCCACCCCCCAGATAGGGTCCGACCTGGCCAGGGGCGCCAGGCCTCACCAAGCAGCCAGTGGGAGTATGCGGGGTACATACCTGAGCGCCCAGCCCCAGACACTGAGAACCACCAAAGGTTCTGAGGGCTGAGGGCATCAGTTTGACATAGACAAACTGGCACACACAGACACAAGCATACATTCCCACCCTCATGCACATAAATACAAATACTCAGCACTCGCGCAACGTGGAGACAAACAGAAATGAACACTATACACCCTTTCACACTTCCCAAACATACTCTACACTCCGAGGTTCAGGTACCACCGCCCCCAGAGCCAGGAGATGTTACCCTTTTCCCTGGGGTGGAGGGACGGACTGCCCCCGGCCCGGCAGCTGCAGGGATGGCCCAGCGCCCCAGACCGCACAGTAAACACAAAAAGGGAGAAACATTAGTAGCAGTAACCCAAATTATCCCCCATGTTAAATCTGCACTCGCTCACATCATGCTTGTTTTTCATGTGTTGACGTTTGTAGTCATTTGTAACCATAATGGCTTCTGTCGCTCAGCTTTTGAAGTATGACAAAGAAGTTGCAGCCTTCCATGATGTTATTAGGGAAGAGGGCATCAAGTTTCCACCAAGGTCTGTAACTCTGCTACTTGCTGCAAATTTCTGCCATTTACTTTTCATGCTTTAAGAATTTGTTCCCCTCTTGTCTTGTGCTCAGCTACCCATACAGTGAAGAGCATGCTAAACCAACCCAGTACATGAACACTCGCTGTCCTGCCTGGTGTGATCGCATCCTTATGTCACATACAGCCCAAGATTTAATCCACAGGGTGAGTCTTTGCACAATCACATCATTTCATGATGACAAGAACACAATTTGATATAATACGTGAGTTAGCATGACGTGTTAAGGAAGCACTTTGGCAAGCTAGCCAGCCAACATTTCTAGTCAATGTGTTTTAGCAGTAGCATTAGTTAGCAACATTTTAAGGTTAACCAATTATGCTGCATGACTCTGACTCTGGTTAGTTCGTAAACCTTTGCTGATAGTGACGGGTTAATTTATCAGCCAGAGGAGTTCTAGGGGTTTAAAAAAATTAGCTAGCATTATCTATTTAAGATAGTGTTTCGCTACAATATGTAGCTTGCAGTTTGTCTGTTTTTGCAGGAAAGCTAATGTTAGCTAACAGATGGTGATACCTGTGTTTGCAAAAAGACTTCTTTTCCTGTAGAAGTCTGTGAGCCAAAGTCTGTAAAAGTCCTCCTGAGTTTTTGGGATTGTTCTGGATCATATTTTGAAATTGAGGATTAACTTTGGTGTAAAACTACATCTTCATTGCATAAGAAGTTGTCAATCACAAGTCATTAGACAACGGGCTTCGCATACTTTGGTACACGGTTTTACATTCGTGCACACATACTGTATAACCTTTAATATGTAATGTGATGTAAATCCACTATGAACATAATCCAGCCCACACAAATGTGATACTCAACATTTAACTTAATATAATTTAAGAAGAATCTGTTTGTAATGTTTACATATAAATGATCTTCAAGTTCATTCTTCTTTTCAGAGAGACGATGGTGAGAAGAGTGTTGTTTACTACACAATGGGTCCTAATGTCTGCATGGGAGATCATAAGGTAACAGATTACATAAGCAGTGTGTTGTGCACATCAGCCATGTGGACTGACTCTGATGTGTTTTGTTTTCTTCTGTAGCCTGTGTTCTTGTCCTTGTCACTGAAGACAAATGACCACATCTGATACTTCTAAATGGTAAGAAGTTTCACTGAGTGTGTGTGTGTGTGTGTGTGTGTGTGTGTGTGTGTGTGTGTGTGTTCTGTACTGCATGTGCAAGTGCAGCTGAGTCGATGTGGTAATTCCAGTGAATGGATTCAGTGTGAGAGAGTGAGCACAGTAATCTTTCTCTGGTCCCTGGAGAGCCATAACCCTACTGGCCCAGTGGAGTCGGGATATGAACTAAGAGTAATGCGTGCGGGACATAAGAGATCCTTTGTGCACATCGTAGTTGGAGTGCAGGCGATCTGCACTCTCGCTGATCTATGTCTATTGAATCCTCCTCACTGTCACTGTGGCTACACATTAGGTTTAATGCTGGCCTGCTTTTCATTAATTACCACATGGATGGCTGGCTGGGGACACATTCACATTGTGCGGGGCATTTTTACGGCCATTTTTATGGCCATGATTTTGTTTTGCTGCCATTTCAATTTATTTTTTTAAGGAAGAACTGCCTTTTCATGATTGTCCTTCTTCACAATGGGAGTGCTTGAAGAGGCTACAACTATCTTCTTTTGTGTTTTTGACATTTCAAGGCATATGAAAGGTTTGGCCTACTGCTAGTATTTTTAGGCTACATTTTAGCTCTTGCAAGGTGTGTTCATAAACATGTTGTTTATGTAACCGTTGTTTTTTTGTGAAGTAATGCCTTGTGTCTTGTCTAGGCTTTGCTGCCTCCGTCCTGATTGGGTGCTGCTGCCTAAATCAAGTCGATCAGCAAAGCCCTGTATGTCTGGGGAGCTGTACTTCTCGCCATTTTGACTGCTCATACTCAGTCATTGGGTTTTAGAGGCTTAAATGCCTTTGAGTTGTATTTTTAGCCACATGTGATTTTGTTTAGACTGTCTTTGTAGGGTAGAGCTGCCTTTAATTTGTTATCCCTAATTTTCTCCTGTTTATGTGGTGATTAGGTAGGTTATTTTTGTAGGGTGTATATTTTGTTTTATTTGGAATTAAGCAAGTTAACTTTTAATTTCTTTTTAGGGATGTTGTATTTGTAATATTGACAATATTTCCTTAAACTTAAATGTCAATCTGAACCAAACCGAGATTTAAACTAGCAGAAAATAAACATTTAACAAAATCTTATTAAAAATTATTTTCTTGATATTTAATCTGTGTATTAATAAATATACTATAAACAATGTTAATGTAACTAAAATAGTTGGTGAAATAAAGGAATAAAAAAGTAAAACTCACTTTTGAGAAATACATGAAGTTTGATCCATGCTTAATAAACTTGAGCTTAAAGTGAACTCTCCAAGTTGCCTCATCTATTTGTCAGAGAGTTGCAGTCAGCTTTGTTTGCTAAGCAGCTTCAAAAACTTATCTTGCAGGTGTGACTGACACAGTTATTGTGTATGCTCTTCATCAGTAACAAGCAGCTCATTTGCTGTGAAACATAAACTTTCTATTCTCCCTCTCTTATCTCCAGTGGTGTCACAGCCATAAAATATTTCTTAATGAACCGTTTAGAAAATCTTTCCCCCGACACACACACAAAGAGAAACAAAAACCCAAATGCTTCTAAAATGTGAAATTTAATTTGTATAGCCATTTCATTTAGTAAAATCAACTGCAAAAAAACAAAACAAAACAACTTTTTCTTGTTGCTTTTTATGCATCAAATGCTCTATAAAGACTTACCAGAGTTCTTGTTGTTGCTCTGCTTCACCATCTTGAAGAAATAAGTAATACTTCTCATATGCGTCTGGATAGAAGATGTGCTTGCGTCTGTTTGTTGGTATGAATGTCATGAAGTGACAAAATGGACTGGTTCCTATGTAGCGCTTTTATACTCTGAGCACTCAAAGTGCTTTACACAACTTGTACATTCACTTATTTGCATTAGCACCTGTTTCTATGCTTTTTCTAAGTGCTTTCTATCTAGCATTCACATGCATTCATACTCTCCTGAATGCACCGGAGAGCAACATGGGATTTGACATGCAGACTGGAGCAGACTAGGATCAAACCACCAACCTTCCAGTTAGTAGGTGACCTGCTCTTCCACCTGAGCTACAGCCACCCCATTTCTTCTGTGCAGTGCGGAAGAGCATCAGTCAAGGTGGTGAGATGGACTCGTGCCCTTTGTGACTCTGGTAGTTCTTCTGAGGATACACTGCCATCTTGCCACACCTTCACCATCTGTGAGCACAAACTGCTGCTCTGCCAGCATGTAGAAAAATCACAGAAGTGAAATCAATAAAGCAACTTGACTTGACTTCTTTTCCTGCAAAAAGACAGATCAGCAAAGCCCAGAGAACACAAGACACACAAGGTGCAACACTCAGACTCAAACAGCCTTCAGAAATGAAGGCACAGTGTTCGTCCAGTCATACTAGAAATGATTATGTATCAGAATAATAACTAAGAAACAAACTTTGAAGAAGAAAGAAGATGTGGATGGGCTGGTGTTCGCTGACTGGTCATTTCTGGTAGTCCGCTATCATTTCTCTAGTTTTGCTGATGTTGAGAGACAGGTTATTTTCCAGGCACCACTCGTACAGTGCCATCACCTCTTCTCTATAGGCCCTCTCATCGTTGTCTGCGATGAGGCCTATGATGGTTGTGTCATCTGAAAACTTGATAATGGTGTTGGACTTATGCTTAGCAACGCAGTCGTGTGTAAACAGGGAATAAAGGAGGGGGCTAAGCACACAAGCCTGTGGCGTTCCTGTGTTTAGGATGAGTGATGAGGTGGTGTGCTTACCAATTCTCACCATCACCAGCTTTTCTTTGCTCAAAATAAATTTCTCCTCAAAATGCAACACTTGCACCTGCATTTTTATTTATTTATTTTTACGTGTGCTCAAAAGATTTTTTTAAGTGCACTCAGAATAGTGACACAAAAATAACGCTATAAATGGGGAACAAGTGGGAACACAGATGAGACAAATCAGACCTAACGAGACAAGGGCAAACAAAACCAGACGCACAGCACATAGGACAGGACTTTCACAATAAAACGGGAAACAGCATGGAACGCAGACATGACAACGCAAACTTGACAACATGGACAAGACGAAACTGAAAATGTTACGTCCAGATGAACAGAATCAACCTTTTGGGATTTTCTAACCCGGATGGTTAAGCATGTATCAGGATAAATACTCATATATAACTATTTCAGGGATCATCTAAACTCCAAGACATCAGGAATTATCACCCAATAAAAACTGCTGGCTGACTAACAGACAAACACAATGAATAGAACCTGATGTAAAGCTTTATATATGAATTATTTTCTTTTTGTTAAACATGTAAATGTGCAGAGTCTTTGACATCAAAGGTTGATGTAAATTTACTGATTTGATAAAAATAAAAGGTTCACTCTATTGTAATGTGTATGACTTAAAACACTGAGTGCAAAATGTGCTGTTTAAAGCAGTTTTCTGTGAAAGTGTTTGATGGTTAAACTATGGCAACATTAATAAAATGTATTTTGTTGCTCTTAATATTATGAAACTTACTGCAAATAGCACTATTATTAAATCGATAATGGTAAAGAAAAGAAATACGTGACCTTCAAATATAAAAGGATTGTGTAGCTGAAAACAGACACTTGCAGAAGACTGAAAATGATAAAATCTGCAGCAGCTGCAAATGTGCAGCAGTTAAATATTAATCGTAGATGAAGGTCAAATCTTCACGTGGTTCTCAAAAGTGAAAGCAGAGTTTGCGGGTTTCAATATGACTTGTTTACAACTTTATCTACATTTATAGTTATATTGAATGCTTTATCTGAAATACTTTGTCATTAATATTAAAAAAAAAAACAGACAAACACAATGAATAGCACCTGATGTAAAATTTTGTATATGAATTATTTTCTTTTTGTTAAACTTGTAAATCTGCAGTCTTTGAGATGAAAAGTTGATGTAAATTTACTGAACTGCATTTCTATATTATTAAAATATACTCAACCTGTTCTTGTTTCATAAAAATAAAAGATTCACTCTGTTGTAATGTGTATGTATCACGTCCGGTGTGGCAGACGTGTGGAGTTGTAGAAAGGACCCAAAAGGTGGCAGCTCTGGTGCAGGTGAGTATTTATTTACAGGAGTGGGTACAAACAGCAATGGTGGGTGAACATGAAACCGGACACCTAAACTGGGTAAAACTAACAAAACAACCCAGAAACGAAGATGCAGGGAGGTCCGGGGAAATACACACAGAGAGACGCAGGGAGATTGAGGGGAAACAACACGGACGAACCAGCAACGAGGACGAGGTAACACACACTATAAACACACACGCCAGGAATCAGGAGAAGGGAAACAGGAGGGGAACACACCTGGAAGACATCACAGCTGACGAGGCAGGGGAAACGTAACCAGAACACACTGACATAAGACACAGACCTTCACAATAAAACAGGAACTTACAAAGCAAGGACACAGACTAAGAAACGCGGACTTAACACAGGAATACATGAGCAGAACCGAATAAACACTAAACAGAGGAAGAACAGAACCAAAATCGCAATAAGAGAAAACACAAAACGCTGGGTCAAAAGGACCCAGGATCATGACAGTATGAGTTAAATATTAATTGTAGATGAAGGTCAAACCTTCACGTGGTTCTCAAAAGTGAAAGCAGAGTTTGCTGGTTTCAATATGACTTGTTTACAACTTTATCTACATTTATAGTTATATTGAAATATTTATCTGAAAGACGTTATCATTTATATTAAAAAACAACCCTATGCCTTTTTTCCCCATTGTTAATGTGTAACTAAAGTAAGTCATTTGATGAGAGGGAGAGAGTCTCTCCAAACCTCTGCAGCCAGCAAACCCAGCTTAACTCTGATGGTCTCCCTCACTCATTTTCCCCAGGATGTCTGTTGATGATAATTTTGACTCTTGGTGGTGTGGTTAAATGAAAAGAACAAATTGGAACTAAAGGTTTAAATCTTTAGTTTAATATTATTCCCAGTCTTATGTTTAAATTAAAGGACAATGTTGACTAATACAGGATTGTCTCCCAGTCAACCATACATCCATGATTTTTAGATATCATCTCCCAGTCAGCTATAAATCAGTGACTTTTCAATAGTGGACAGAGGGGCTCTACCACTTTAATCTCCCAGTCAACTATAAAGCCACATTTCTTCAACTATATAAATCAATGGCATTTCTGTAGCACCTTATAACACGACGCAAGTAAGGGACGAGTACACTGTACTTACGTGTGTTTTGCAGCCAACAAGTCAGGTTTTTGCCAGAAACAATGAAACAAGAACACTTTAAGTACCCTGCACTTGCATACAAATTGCACACACAAGTAACCTTTACTTACATGCAATTTGCAAGAAACAAGTACCACTTTTTGCAAGAAATAATTAAACAAGTACTCTGTAAGTACCCTGTATTGGCATGCAATTTGCAGGCAACAAGGTGGAAGTACCCTGTACTTACATACAAGGTAGGGCTAGGTTTCACAATGAGCTCACCCGAAACCTCAGCTGATTTTGACATACACCTGTTTTCACACCTTGGCTCGTGTGATTAGGTAGAGGATCATTAGAGTGTCCATGTCCCTCTTGGGGGGACACTCCTACAGGGCTTAAGAATTTCAGAGTGATCTGTTGTTATTAAGTAAAACATCACTGATGATAAATAAAATAAAATAAATAAAACAGAGAAAGTACTTTAAGGATTAGAGAATGATTGCCATGATAACGTTTATGTTTTAGAGGAAATGCTCAGCTTCCTAGATAAAGTGCACACGTAGTAATTGTGTGAGAGTCACACCTAAACAATGAGTCATCACAAGCCACCTAGTGGACATTGACCTTGAGAGTTTGCTTCAACTGATAAGGATGAAGTGCAAAGCTTCACATGTTTCTCAAAGGTGGAAGCATATAAGTTTGCTGATTATATTATGACTTTTTTACAAGTTTATCCGGGTTTACTGGTGTCTTTGTTACTACAGGTAAAGAAATAGTATATAAGTGGTTAATCAAACTTCAACAGCTTTATGGTGCAAAAGAAGCACAAGTGATCTCCAATCAGAAAACTTTGTCACATGTTTCTGAATTTTGTTCTGATTTTATATTGTTAAC